GCGCCTAAGGCGGTCGACATGAGGCGGTTGAACGTGCAAAGAGAAGAGAGAGAAAGATCCTTAGTGTGCAAGCCAAGTTATTTAGTTTCCATCTAGCTTTATGATTTCTAGATTGTTTAGGATTTTTTATATTTTATTGCTTTATTAATTCCCTAGGTAGATTAGGACTAGATATAATTTGTGCCTATATAAAGGCCCCTCCTTTTGTTATTTTTCAGCATTCAGTTTATGAATAAAAATCCGAACTTATGTTCAAACACTTTGTCTTAAATTCTATTGCAATTTTATTCGTTTCAATAGGCGCGGCTGTGGCTAGAGAAACACCTATCGACGATTCAAGGCATGGATTCGTGGCTTATCGGCAATCGGAACACACGATCTTCATCAACGCGCGTGGGCGCAGGGCAGCAGCGTGTGCGTGGGCGCAGGGTGATGAAGATCGCGTGTCCCGACTGCCGATAAGCCGCTAGCCCGTGCCTTGAATTGCCAATAGGTGTTCTTTAAGCCACAACCGCGCCTCGAGGAACGAATAAAATTGCAATAGAATTTTGGTGGAAAACTAAAGCAAAGTGGAAGAACAAAAGTTCAGATTTCTATTCATAAAATTGATGATCTAAAATAACATGGGGGATGGCCTTTATGTAGGTACCAATTATATCTAGTCCTAATCTACCTAGGGAACTAATAAAGCAATAAAATATTAAGTATCATAGTATAATAAGGAAACCAAATAATCTATAGATCATTTAACTTGTCTTGCACTCCAAGTACTTCATCTCTCTCTCGCGTATGACCGCCTCACGCCTGCCATCCGTGCGCGCCGCCTCAGTCCACACCCTAGTCCTCGAGGACTAGGGCACTGCCTTCTGCGCGTGCCTCATCCCCCGGCGTGCTACGCACGCTGGCGCCTGTCGCGCCGCCCTCGCGCGCGTGTCTGCCCGCCATACCGCATCCCTCAAGGACTGCGGCTTCGCGCCCTGCGCGTTCTTCCCCATCAGGCGTGTCGCGCACGCCTTTGCTTCCGGCTGCTCCCTTGTGTGCGTGTTGTGTAACACCCCTCCTTACTAAAAATCAGAGTTGCGCAATAATTCGCAAAGTCTTTTAAAAATAAAACCTTTTTACTTTGCGAAAACTGATTCGGGGTGCTACCCTGAGAGCGTCTCGAAGTCACGGTGTCTAGGAGAAGGCCGCAGTGCGTCTGCTAGATACATCTATCGGGGATAAACGAAGGCCTCAGTG